CGCCGCCCGCTCGCCGCGCATCGAAGAGGACTCCACACGTCTGCACCGTAGGTGTCGCCCGACGAAATGGACGAGTGCCGCCGCGGACGGCGGTTTTGTTGAGCGACGCACACGCCTCCCCGCGCGCCGCATTCCTCGCGCCGGGTGCGAGCGAAAGGTGCAAACCTACCTCTCCCGCTCGCACATCACTCATAATAATATTATTAACCTACCCAATTTATCGTCAATAAAATAATTCTAAATTTTGTATATATATAACATGATTTCCAAAATAAAAACATTCCTTAACTGACTATCAGTAGCGGATCCAGGGGGGGGGCTAAGGGGCTCAAGCCCCCCCCCAAAGGCATTTGGGTCCGCCCCTGACAAATCTCACACTTTATTATCCTACTTACTTTCTTAGACTCTTAACAGAGAATAAATAATATACTGTTATACTATTACAGTGGGGAAGAATCTATATATCACGATTCCCATCATGAAAAATCTAATCTATTGGGTCAACTGTACGGTACTTTAAACTGTGACGTGACGAGTTTTAAATTCGCGCGCCAATCGAGCGCGGACGCGCTTGTCGCGAGCTGCGCTGGTACTTGTGCTTGAGATAGAGATATACCGTACGCACACATCTCTACACCCACGGCCGGCCGTACGCAGCGTACGGCCGGCCGGTACGTGGGTGTGTGTTGGTAGCATTGCGGGCGGAGCGAGCTTTGATTTGATTTTGATTGATTAGTTGCACAAAAACAATAGACGGGTGTGTTACGCAGTGCTTCTGCTTATTCAAGTGTTTTAAGTTGTTATTTGGGTCTGGGCGTGCTTTGCTTTTGTTCAATTTTGAAAAAAAATGACATCAAAACGTAGTAAGCAAGGAGATCTTCGTTCGTTTTTTATTCCGAAACGAAAGAAAGAGGAGGACGAATCGCGCGATAATGAACCAATATTACCGAGACACAACGTCAGCAACTTAATATTGTCGACCCAAAATTCATCAGGTAAGTACCTACTACAATAACTACAACATCCTTTGGATTATTTTATTCTTATTTTCTTTTCTTTTATTTCATTAGGTACAGTGACAGATAACAGACGAACATAAATTAAATAACTATGACAATAAAGCGCACTATACATCTGCAATACTATAAATCGGTAGTTCTACAAAAGTAGGAATAAAATGAGCCTAATTTCGGCACAAAATTTTTGTAGGTTTACAGTCAGTATTACTATTTGTATTTTAAAAAAGAATCTTTTGGTCGGTTGGTGTTGGGCGGGTGGCGGGTGGTGTAGTGGACTCTTTCTTTGACTGTACACTGCATTGTTGTTACAGAGCCGGAACCAGTGCCAGAGGCTAGTACATCCACTGCTTGCGCTGAATATCGTTTTGATATTTCTTATGCAATAGGAAAATCACTAAGTAACGAGAAAAAGTATAAATATCTGACGGAGTCTTTAGAACCACCTCGTAGTTATGAATATCCAGAGCAGACAGAGGGTGGACAAAAAAGAAAGTTCAGATCTGATTGGCTAAAGGAATACTCCTGGCTAGTCTATAGTCAAGAACAGAACGGCGCATATTGTTTGCCTTGCGTACTATTTTCTGGTCCAGATAGTGGGGGCAAGCATTCTGTGGCTTTAGGATCTTTAGTGACTCGTCCACTTTGCAAATATAAAAAAGCATTAGAAATTTTCAAAAACCATTCCGCTACCGATTACCACAAAATGGCGGTGTTAAAAAGTACAAATTTTAAAAGTTCATATGAAAACCCTGAAAAAGCTGTAAATAATTTAATCGAAACTGAGAAACTTAAAATGATTAAATCAAATAGAGAGCGGCTGATTCCTATAGTTAAGACGATTATACTGTGTGGTCGAGAAAATATACCCTTAAGAGGCCACCGAGATGATGGTACATTGAGTGATGATATCGGCCAAGGAAAATTTCGAGCACTGTTAAAATTTCGTATTGACTCAGGTGATTCATCACTCCAAAAACATTTAGAAACAGCGCCAAAAAATGCTACATATCTAAGCAAAACAACTCAGAATCAGCTGATTGATTGTTGCCATTCTGTTATACTGAAAAAGGTACTTGACAAAGTCAAAGAAGCAAAATATTATGCCGTTCTTGGCGACGAAACAACCGATGCCAGTGGAACAGAACAACTCAGTATATGTATCAGGTATTTGGATATAAAAGAGAGCACAATACACGAAGAGTTCATATGCTTTCTATCTGCAACTGACTTGACTGGTGCTGCATTAAGCAATCAAATCATTCAAGAATTAAATCAAGTTGGCTTACAAATTGAGAATTTGAGAGGTCAAGGTTATGACGGAGGAGCTAACATGTCAGGAAAGTATAGTGGCGTACAATCCCAAATAAAACAGCTTCAACCGCTAGCGACTTATATGCACTGTGCAGCACATAAACTGAACCTAGCTATCGTAAAGGCCTGCAGCTTACCTAGTGTTCGCAATATGATGGGAGTTGTAAGTAGTGTTACCGTTTTTGTGCGTGAATCATCAAAAAGATTGGGACTTATCAAACAAGCCATCCTTGAATAACACCCTGAGGCGAAAAGAGTTAAATTACAAAATCTAAGTGATACACGCTGGCTTGAAAGGCATGATGCACTCCTTCAATTCAAAGAACTCTTTGACTCTATCATACAATTCCTTGAAGAATTTGACAGAATTTCTCCGTCTTCAAAAAGTGCAAGTCTTCTGGCTTCCATTCAACGATTTGACTTTGTTTTACCTTTGGCGGTAACCGCCGCTGTATTTGAAATTACTGTTTCGCTTTCACGGCAACTTCAGGCTGTTGCATTAGACCTTAACCTTTGCTATGAGATGGTAGACAGTGTAATTAGAATATTGGAAAGGTACAGAGAAACTAAATATGAAGAAATTTTCCAAGAGGCGTGTCGTATTGTAGAGCCTTTGGACATCCCAGTGCAGGCACCCAGAACCACCAAACGTTCAACTCATCGCTCAAATATAGAAGCGCCTGATGCTAAGGAATACTACAGGTAAAATAAATCTTAATAAAGCATATAATATATACCCCCGCATTTTGCTTAATGCAGCGTTTCTTTATTTTCTGTTATGTTCTTTCGAGTTAAAGAATAATTTCATATCAAATCTTGTTTCAGATTGAATGTATTCCTTCCTTTCATCGATTTTGTATTGGGACAGCTTAGGAGTCGCTTTTCGAGAGCAGAGCACTCTTCAATTCTCGACCTGTTCACCCTTATACCAAGTGCCATCGTAAAAATAGAAAATCTGAACTCCATAGAGGCAGCTGCGCGTGTTTACAGCAGCGACTTACCTCATCCTCTCTCGTTATCAGGAGAAATAACTCTTTGGAAAGAGCTTTGGAAAGACAGGGAACATCTTCCCCAAACAGCAGCAGAGGCCCATCAAGAGGCAAATGAGTTTTTCCCAAATGTTAAAATTTTATTGCAAATACTTGCTACATTACCAGTATCCACTTGTAGTGTGGAGCGCAGCTTCTCTTCGCTCAAACTAATAAAATCGTACCTTCGCACGACAATGACTGAAGAGAGGTTGAATGGTTTGGCTGCAATGTATATTCACCGAGACATATCCCGCAGCCTACAACCAGTCGAAGTCATTGAAGAATATTCAAAAAGACACTCGAGGAGACTCACTATGCATTAAATGACAAAAAAAATAAAATTTTGAATGCTTTTTTGTGTTTATCTTGACGTAGTTGAAGGTAGGCTTTATTAAAGCCTACCTTCAACTACGTCAAGCCCCTCCCAAACCAAAATCCTGGATCCGCCACTGCTGACTATCAAAGAGTTTAATTTACTGAAACCTACAATCGCTAAAGTATCTTAGTGGCTCGAAAACAAAACAGTTCAGTTCAGTGTCATGTCATAGTGAAAAAAATCGCACTAAATTGGTAACACTGTTGACTAAACTTATCAAAAAAAAAACCGGTTCTAATGAAAAACGGGTGCCTAGTATGATTTGCAAGTCAGGGGTGGGTCAAGAAATTAAAACACGTATACTGATTTAAGAAATGAAAATATATTCCATGTTTTATCTTGGTCCAGCCCGACTGCTAAATCATACTAGGACCCGCCCGATTTTATGCTACTATACTTAAATAACTTTCTTTTTATATAAATAGGTAGTCCAGACGCCAAGATAACTGAAACAGTAGTTCTGCCTGCCACACCAGCCATCCTCACCCTGCCGGCCTGCATTTCGCTCGTTCACACCTCCTTTAAAGTATGGAGGGAAGTAAACACATGAGCTGATAAAGTATTCCATTTGCAAATAGTGCGACAAAGAAATGAATCACCAAATTTATTTGACGACCTCCGTGGTCGAGTGGTTTGTATGCCGGGTTTCATGGTGTCGCCGACTCGAGAGGTCCCGGGTTCGAGTCCCGGTGGGGGCAGATGTTTGTGTGATGAATACGAGCATTTGTACTCCAGTCATGGATGTTTCATATGTATTTCTATATAAATATGCTTATATATGTACTGTATATGTATTGTATCCGTTACCCTAGCATCCCATAACACAAGCCTTACAGTGCTTACTTTGGGGCTAGGCTAATTGGTGTAAGTGTTGGAAATATTTATTTATTTGTTGTCGTGGGAGTAGTGGTCACAGAAATTTGATAACAAAATAGGCCAGCGCTCGTGGTCCTCAGTAGGAACAAGGAAGGTGGGATAAGGTAGAATAACTCCTCAGAAGACTGATAAACAATTATTGATATTTTAATGCTTAAACTAATTTAGGAAACGGAGTTGGTGATCAATTGTCTTAATAAGTCATATACTATAGAATGTACACCGCGTTCGATAGAAGTATATAAGGAGAAACATACATAAAAGATAAATTTGACAAACACACATAAAAGTAATGAACTGCTTATATCATAGACAAGACTACTATTAGCTGAAGTGTCACATAAAGTTTTTCTTGTCTGTTCCATACGATCAATCGTATTGCTGAGTTCAATCGGCGAAAGAACGAAGCAGCATGAAGTACGACAATGATGTCTTTAAGATCTGTGAAAAGAAAATAGAATCATCATTACTCACATTAACACGGCGAGGTAAAAACTTATGGACTATTATTATATGAGGTACACGGACGAGGGACAATAAAATTGGAAATTGGAAATATATTTTATTGAAATTGAGCGCGGACTTTTTTGTCTGCCAAAATAGATCGCTTACCACTGCATCGTGTAAGGCGACCACGTACAAAAAGTCCCCCGAACAACCGAGGTGGCCGAGAGACCGGACAGGACAAAAGTACGCGAGTGTCCCACAAAAAATAGAACAGTATCCTTAGCACGAACCAATATCGAATTGGAATAGTTTGCGAATCCGAAATGTCATTGTCTAATTTTGTCATAATAGCAGCGCCATAACATACGTATCGACAACTAAAATTCAGTACACATTTGACAATGACACTTCGTTCTCGCAAACGATACGAATTCGATATTGGTTCGTGCTAGGTGTACAGCAACACACACAGCGAACTTTAGTCTGCGTTGCGTGCTCGATTCGATTTAAATGGATGGATCCAGAATTTTCTTCAAAAAACCTTCTCTTATCTTTTTCTCTTAATACGTGTTAGAAACAACACAACGTAATCTGAGAGCATTTACTTCCATAGCGTGCGCTTTTCTAAATAAACAAATCATCGCACACCGTGTGCGTTGAGTCAGTGATAAGTCCGCGGCGGGCATTTCCCTCATGATTCAGGGACTTTTGCCCTCCGCAGACAACAGTCCTTCGTCTGCGCAGGTTATCAAGCTCACTTCGCGCATAATAATTAAAATTTATAAAGGAGGAGTATAGATGGCTAATATGCTTGCTTACATTAGAAGTACGTTACATGAGAGCTTCCCGCCCAAAGGCGCGTTATTGACGATCAATAATATCGGATGCGTTATTGCGATATCCGTCATACTTCTATTGCGTCGTTATTACCGCAGCATTGTGTACCTTCGTAGCCGTCCTCATACATAATGTACTTAAAAATAGATCTCGTAATAACGCATCAGATATTATCGACCGATAATGACGCGCCTGTTGGTAGCCCCAACACACTCAATAATTGTAAAAATAAACTCTTTGGTGGAACTAATTATTTAATAAAACTAGTACGCATTTAAATATCACGTGATGATCGTGAATCCCGGAAGTGGCATGGAAATCTGCTGGACGTCCTGCGATATTTACAGTCAGCCTTAAAAGTGGCTGTCCTTCCGTCCATCAACGGACTCTCATGAACTTGTCGACCCTTAGTCGAACCAATATCGAATTCGAATAGTTCGTGAGTCATTTCGCACTCGCAAACATTTCGAATTCGATATTGATTCGTGCTAGGGTAATAAGAACGTTTCACAGAAAATAATGTAAACAAAACTTGAACTAGAAATACAATACGGCCTTTTTTTTTTATTACGCAGGTAAAAAATGCTATTTACAGACGACGGCGCCTTTAAGAGGCACACCGCCGAACGGACCTCACACCTGGCTCCCGCAAGCCTTACGGGCGCCCCAGTGGCTGTCCACCGAGGACCCCGCAACTCTTACGGGCGCTTTACGGCATAATATCCGCTTAAAAAGTCCTGCGAATACCCTCTAAGCTGCTTAGCGCGAAGCCGCGGGATCCCCGTTTAGGGATTCCTCCGCGTCTAAATACAATACGGCCTGGAGGTCTACTCTTTTTCAACGGGAAACGAAATTTCGCACGTTCCTTACTCTGTTTCTTTTTCATTTAGAAAATTCGATCGTCAGAAAATAGTTTGACATTTATAATATTCTCCAAGCCTACTCTAATTCACAAAACTTTCCAACGAAAAGTTGAATTTTGAAAAGACATATAATAATTGATCGAAATTTTAACCTCAAATTGACGAAATGAAAAGTGTTACCTTTTCATTTTGGTTTTGCTATTTTTGTTTTAAATAAGCATTAAATTCTTGCAAGTGTTTTTAATCAAGGCTGCTTAGCTCGAGGAACATTTTTAGCATGTAATAATAATAAATAAACCATATTTTTATTATTTATCTTAGCAATTCCAATACTTCAAAGTATGAAACGACAATTTTAGGTTGACATACAATAGATTGTATCAACTCTACAAATTAGTCAGCTAACACTGTCAAAGAAGGTTCTTTCAATGTTCTCAATAATTTTGCCGTAAAGTACCAATATTGTTCCCAAGTATGGAGGAAGAAGGAAGGAGAAAGAGAGTCAAGCTCCTCCTTATACTTTAGGCGGAATCGAACAAATAGACAGAAACAGACTTTCCAGGTGAACGCACTACCATCTTCATAGAACAATTATCAAATTTCCTTTCGTATGTGGCATGGCTTACTTTAAATTGATACAATTACAACAATTAGATTGATTGGCCAACAAAGCCCTCCCACCTAAAATCCCTTCTCAAATGTCCTACTCACAAAACTGACTTTGCATCCTACTCTTTTACAGTACATGCCATCCGTTTGTGGAACTCGTTGCCAGCAGAAATCAGAGACGCCCAGACCATTTCTACCTTTAAAAAACGATTGAAGGAACACTACCTTTCTACTTGAATATCTAAAACTTTATTGCTTCTCCTAGTTTGTTTTTATTTATTTTATATTAATACTAGCTGACTCGGCGAACTTCGTACCGCCCAAAAGTAATAATTTGCAATAAATTAAAATTGCGACTATAATTTGAGATTTAAACTATCCTATCTCTCAAGTTGGATCGAACTGCACATGGTGTGCGAATTTTATTATAATCGGTTCAGTGGTTTAGGAGTCCATTGAGGACAAACATTGTGACACGAGATTTATATATATTAAGATATATTAATTTATTAGTTAATATTGTATATATTATATGTATTGTATGCTATTGTATGTATTGCATAAGTATTATGTTATATTTATTCAGGAGCACACACTGACTGCCTTTTTCTATGTTCTTTCCTTTCGCGGTCCTGCTGGAAGAAATTTCATAATGAAATAATCAGTGCCCTTGTACATGTCTCTTGTTTCTCTTTTATGTAATATTTTATTGTGTGTGTACAAAATAAATGAATAAAGCTCACACAAATATTGACCCACTAAGCTAAGCCGTTTTGACACCCGCACTCGACCCCGATCACCGCAATAGATATTCTTTCACATTAAAATCGTAATAATATAGATGTTAATCGATATGACTCTGCAATACAACTCACACCAGCCATTGTTTGCAATCCAACAGGCACCATGCCCATGGCCTTGAGTTGCATCGGATTCTGCGCGTTGAACAGGAACAGAGCCACCATGTTTCTGTTGCTGGCGGACATCCTCTCCCAGGGAACGCTGTATACAGCATTCATCACCTCCTCGGACTGGTAACAATATTCCCTTTAACACCCGTCTAAAATCGAAGGGTCTTATAGCTTAACGTGTGTATCTATCTTTTTTTTCTTTTTTTTAGTTTGGAAGTATTTTGTGCTTTTGTGGGTTGACGCAAATTGTGTGTATGTGACAAAAATTAAAAGTGGTGATTAAGATGTCTCCACCACTTTCGACCCGAGACTGCTAGGGATACTGCCAGGGGTGAATCGTGTGTATCTGTCAATGTGTGCTGTGTGATCAAAATTGATTTTGATGCGGTTTTTTGTACTAAAGCTGATTTTAGCTATGATAATGTGTTTAGCTATAGCTTATATGGAGATCTTTTCAGAAGTTTAAAGATTATTATCCCAATTTGTATTTAGGAAAATTGTCTAGCCCACTTTCACAGACCAGATTTTTTTCAATATTTACTACACAATTACTTTGGTGTCTTTAATTTCGCATCCTTGATGCTACAGCATTAGAGAGTTCGCGAGCTGCTCCCATGAGCTCATAAGAATAGTATAATATGACTGACATGGAATGGACTTTCTGGCCCATACCATCTTAGCCCTAATTCTTATAACTGCATTTTGGTAGGTAATAGCAAAATCCTAAGTCCGTGACAGTGTAAGTTATCCATAACTCTCAGATCTCTTCAAGTTACTCTGAGCTTCTTATATTGCTGCTCCACTTATGAGATTTAGATAGCGTGGTAACTTGATGTATTGATAACTTTTACAAAACACAAGTAAAAACACACCTTAGATGTCACGAGTTCCACTACGGCGGACATTTGTATCAACTGACACATTACAACAACAGTGATACTTCCATACTTAGACAGGGAAGAGGCATCCTGAAAATTAATTAAATAATTATGTTACAGACCTTCTACTGACATTTCCATCATTTAGATTTAGAGTATTGTTTTTCTTTCCAGTTACTAAAATAAGATAAAATTTATTATTCCTAATGTTATTTTATGTTACTACACGAGGGTCACGAAGGATCAATTCTTAAATTAGGCAATATTTTTAAAGTATGTGGTATAGTCCAGTCCTCCTGTCTTTTTTAGGGTCAAATTTTTGAACCAGGAATTATGTTTTAAAGAATGTTCAGAGTTCAGAATTTAATTTTGACCATGGGGCGCATTGAGTCATTAGCCAATATATGTTGTCCAAAAGTACCCGATTTCAGGTTTTGAAGAATCATTGGTTAGAAAGGTTATTTGAAAAACTCCAGGAATAGATAGAGAAATCCCTCACGATCATTAGCAGATTAAAGTACGCCTCAATTGGTTGCGTAAAACACGAGAAATCTGGTTTTTACATTCCTTACTCCTACGGCGCCTAATTTTCCGAATTATCCAACAAACTTGGAATCGTAATATTTTTTATTGCACTGGACACTGAAGTTTCTAGATTCGCCACAGCACCCATGTTGCAATTACAAAAAAAAATATTTGAAAGAGACAAAAAAATGCGATTCATATGGAAAGAACTGATTTTTCACCTTTGGACAACATATATTGGCTAATTACTCAAGGCGCCATAGTCTAAAACAAATTCGGGCCTCATATTCAGATTCAGTCATGAAATACTGGGCCAAAAATTTTACCCCAGACAGTGTAAAAATAGACAGGATGACTGAACTAGTAATGGACTTACTATACTCCTTAACATTATTCATAGATGTAATAAATGCAAATACTGAACAAACCAATGTCGAGCACGCGAGTAGTAAGATGCAGAGACTGACTTGATGGAACAAGTAGACCGCACAATACGAGGAACCGAAAGTCAACGAGTACTTGTCCAGGAACCTGAAGGACATTAGTAAGAAATAATCATAAAATATGATTATAATTAGAAATATATTTCAAAGAACTTACTGCGTGATCATAATATGATGTTCAATATTTTCTATGAGTATATTTTTAATCATTTTGTCTTCCTCTGAGCTATAAAATTGAGTCTTCACTTCAAACTGACTGTTCGACTTGGGAGCAGGAAAGTTTTTCAAATTGCAAATCAATATTTTAATATGACCCCACATATGAAACATGATTAGCGATAATAAGCAATCGAAGACGAGAACGCAAATGGCACAGTCAGTAGTCAAATAAACTTGTAAGATCGACATTAGGATGTAAGCGTACATCGACTTTGTGTCAGTATCGACAAAAGGAAAAGCCACATTGAAAGATTGTTCAAATGTTCTGTTAACGGGCCGGTTGGCGCTCAACATCCCGGTCTTGTAATTATTCACTATCGGTGGGATATTAAACATTGATACGCTCATAATTAGTTGTCCGATTAGCATTGTCGTAAATAGCATGCAGACTGAATGGACGCGATCACTTATCTGTAACAAAATATAGTGAATAATCTCAAAAGTCAGTAGCGATAGAAATGATGCTATGCGTACAGCAGTTTAATATAATATAATATATTTATTTATTTCTCCTCACAACATGATGCTATTGTAATAGGTGAATACAAAAATGATAAACCTGTAGGTTGTGAGAAGCTGGTGTCTGACATGGGTATAGAAATACCTGTATTACAGATCACCAGGCCCTCGGCCAACCAGAATGAGATAATTACAATACAACTTAACCAAAACAATTCTACAATATAGGAGAACTTATATAAAAAGACATTAAATATTAGCCTAGTTGTTCGTTTACAGAGATTAACATATCAAAGATGATTGAATGCCACACAAAGTGCAAACAAGTATAGCTGGAAGTTAAATGGACAGTTTCTATTGTGTTGTTTGTTGATACATTTACTTAATTACTTTAAATTACCTAATAGGTAATTAACATTACTTTGCTTTACATAAAAATAAAAATTAAAGATACTCATTTGCTAGAATTTCATTGAGAAAGAGAGAATCTAAGAGAAAGTTAACTGCTCAAAAGATTCTCTGTTGTTAGATAATCCAGATTTTGTAGCCAATTTTTTACTATTCGCTTTAATTTGAATTTTGTGATATTATAAATAGATAAAATGTTGTTAATTTTATTGTACAAACTACCGCCTTGAAAACAGAAAAATCGTTGTGAGAATTTCATATTAAATCGACGTTGCGCACAGATTCTGTTTCTTCTACGTACAAGATCACTTTTACTGGGTACGTAAATCAACTCAGAGTGCTGTTTGATCACTGTTTGAAAAACAAAAAGCTGTCGCACAGTTAATACCCCAGCCAGTTTATACAAATCTACCGTGGGATAGCGGAACGGTAGGCAGAAACTCACTTTGAGCAAAGCTCGTTGGGCCCTCTCTAATCTTAATAATTGCGATTTGCAGGCACCACCCCATGATGTAATACAATAGCAAAGTAGTGACTGGCAAAGAGCATAATAGATAGTTATCAATAATTTTTTGTCTGCAATATGACGTAGATTTTTGAACACTACCATTAATTTGCGTATTCTGGCCGATAACAGCTCAACATGGCATTGAAAATTTAATTTTTCATCCAACATGACTCCTAGATATTTGATTTTGTCTGTCTTAAGTAATCTTGGACATTGACAACTATTTCCATCAATGTTAGTACAATCGTGGGATATAATATCTCTGTTATTAGCATGTTCCAAGTTTTTTAAACCGAACGTAATAAATTTGGTTTTTTCAATATTGAGTGTCAGGACATTTCCTAGGAGCCATTTGGTCACTAAATTATAACCTTTCTGAGCATACATAAACACATCATTCCAAGAATTTCCACTAAACAATATAGCTGTGTCATCTGCAAAGGTGACAATTTTAGAGGAAGACATTTCTAGTTGACACAGGCCGTTTATATAAACCATGAATAACGTCGGACCCAATATGCTCCCTTGAGGAACTCCACAAAGCACAGGAACTTCATTGCTCAAATAGTTGTCAATTTTGACACATTGAGTACGACTACTGAGATAACTTTTAAATAAATCCAATTGTACACCTCTGATACCTATATGTTCCAGTTTTTTAATTAAGATAGGTATGGAGACCGTGTCAAAAGCCCTGGCCAGGTCCAAAAATATGCCAATTACTTTTTTCTTATTATCTAAAGCATTAACTATATAATTAGTAAGATCGTGAACGGCATCAGCGGTGGATCTCTTAGATCTAAATCCATATTGCTGAGGAGAAATCAAGTTATTTTGTTCAAGATAGCTGACCAATCTTTTGTTCATTAAACGCTCAAGAACTTTTGATAATATGGGTAGAATGGAGATCGGTCTATAGTTATTGACAAGGTCCCCATCCCCATGCTTATAAATTGGGTGTATTCTTGATTTTTTTAGTATATTTGGGAAGACACCAGATTCAATTGAAAGGTTGCATAAGTGTGTTATCGCAGGTACTAGTAAGTCTTTGTAAGTTTTCAAGAATTCACCAGATATCAAATCAAGACCCACTGAACAATCTGATTTAAGTTCCAATATCAAAAGTTCAACTTCCTTACAATCTGTAGGTAGAAAAACAAAAGATTTATTACATGTAGTAGTTTTTCCTAACCAACCATCAGTCTGTCCGGATGAAATTTTATCGGCAAGATTTTTCCCTACATTTGCAAAATAACCATTGATATTATTTATGGTTTCCACACGATTTGGTGTATTAAGTAGTATGGAAGATGAATCTTTAGGTTTATTGGTAAATGTAAGGTCTTTGATCGTTTTCCATAATTTTTTACTATTGTTCTTATTAATTGAAAGTTGTGTTTTGTCATGATCATTCTTAACTTTTTTTAAGATTTTAGAGCAAAAATTTCGATATCTTTTATATGTCGCCTGCAGCAAAGAGTTTTTGGGATTTAGTTTTAACTTTTTGTGAAGGTTATCACGGTTTTTTAGACATTTCAAAAGTCCATTCGTGATCCACGGCTGAAATATCCTTTTTCTATTAGGAATTTTAACAGTTTTAGTGTTGGATTTTATAACCTTAGTGAGTGTACTAACTAGGAAATCAGCCGCTGTATTTGCATTTTCAATATGATAAATAGGGTTCAGGTCAATTGATAACATGTCTTTATGTAGGGCATCCTTGTCTAGGCGCTGAAAACTGTGAGAGGATTTTATTTTATTTACATCAGATAAGCAAAAAGCTACACAATCATGATCGGTAAGAGTTGACTGAAGTACGAAACAACTAGCTACGGATTTCGTTTTAACTAAAACGTGGTCCAAGCAAGTCTTATCATGTGTAGGTAGCTTATGCGCTGGTAGAATGCCATGGAATGCCAACATATCCAAATAATTAGAAACATCGTGACTTTGATTTTTTAGAATATCTATGTTTATATCGCCTAGGATTATTATATTTTTTACTGAAGAATACTTTGTCAGCAGGTTGTTTAAGGTTAGAATAAAATCATTGATATCCCTATAACCGGGGGGACTTAAGTTTGCGAATAAGTACCTCCTTGTAATATTTAGATTTGTGTTGATGATGCAATAGATGATCTTTAGTGACAAACTGTTTTAACAGTTCCTGAAATTTTGGCCTCCATGTTACAGTAGTACGATACTGAAATGCAAAACAAATCCATATGAGGAACATATATACGAAATGGAGCTAATCGTATTTGACTGATAAAGTTAAGTGAGAACATGGAACAGACGTGGTTAAAGCAGTTTTGATGACGATGAGCTGTTAATGCCATTCGTTAATAGAATTGGCAGGGATGTTTTCGAAGTACTCGCTGGATCTTCTTAAGATTCAGGCTCAGAACGTGGTCACGGAGTCAAAAGGACACCAATTCTAGGTCAACTTATTGGACGCAAAAGACGGAATCAATAGATAAGATCGAAACATTTTTATCAGAATTCTGCCTTGCAGGGCATCTTATTCTTTGTGGCAATCACTATTTTTTACGCAATTACAGAAGTACACAACGTGTGATTCGAGAAGTAATAAAAAGCTGTTTTTTACCTAACACTCTTTCTCCATTTCATCTTTCTAGTTTATTTAGCAGGCTAGAAACAGAAACAGTGTTGAGAGCTTTAGCAAAATCTATAGGCACAATATTTCTATTAATATGTATTTATCTTGCTATGTGATGTGCCGATTTAAAGACTATACCAGCTGTCTACTTTCCCGGTTTGAAACTAAATAATTTAGGTGCCAGTGTGGATGTAGCTTTTAAGAAACTCATCAAATGTTAAAATATTTTGGACAATGCAGGTAATATGCATGCATAATATAGGTCGATAATTATCGGGAATATGTTCTTACCGATTTTTCAGAAGAAAATGAAACACTCACCGTACCGACGCAGTTGAGAAAAATTGTGATGTAGCACTCAGCAAGTTCGATGAAACTCACTACCCCGATGTTGGTTTTGACGAACCAAATGCAGACGTATAATGTGAGCATCCAATAGACAAATAAAAACTTGCGTCCCCTGAATGGGTAAGGGGATACGTTCTCCTCGAACACTGCGTAGGGCCAGGTGTCCAGGTAGTGCATCAGAGAGCGCACTATCATCATGTACCTCAGCTGCATCGGGGACTCCACACCACTGTTGATGAAATTTCTTAAAAATATTACATTTTCTTTCGGATAGAATACTTTCTAACGAGGTATAAAGCGAGTGTTACTTTCAGATCATGACTTTAAAAGGAGAGAATTCAAATTTGTACGGAGAGTGGCAGTGAGTCTCTAACAGACTCCAATTTTGTATGAGAAGAAGTGCACTTAATTGTAGTTTTTGTTACCTAGTTACGTATCAGGAAAAATAATTCTTTCATCGAAACCAGTTACGAAACTACGGTTTGGTAGACGGTCGAAAAAATAAAACAAGCTTTGGAATTATATATATTATCTTTATTTATTTATTACATACTTAAGCTACTTTACGGAAGTACCCTTCGAATATACTGGCAAGACAATACAATATTTTTTATTGCAAGTAAGAATATGGGATTTAGATTATTATTATAATCATAATCTTTATTGTTTCATGTTGGTATACGGGTTCTCAAAATTAAAATAAGGAGTCAAAACATCGATTGCAAAAATTAAGATAACAATTTTGATAAGATACATTAAAATTTAAAAAAAACTGGTGAGAATTTGTGTTTCTTCCTTTACGAATGCGGAAATTGAAAAATCTAAATTGCTTTTATTTCAGTCGAATCCTACTAATAAGATCAAAATTAAGCGCAAGAATAAAAGTAAAGAAAAAGAAACCTGACCGATATCATAAATGTGTTTAAGTCCACGGAACCACAGCTCTACTCTCTTTCTCCGAAACGAAATTTCGGAAATGACTACTCTATTTCATTTTTGATAATGCACGTAAAGTTCTGAATCACAATCAACAGTCTTACTTTACGACAATTTTTTGATGACATTAAAAATACTTCAAAGTATTAAATGATAAATTCAGGTTGACATACAATCGATGCATCAACTCTACAAATTAGTTGGCTAACATTGTCAAAAAAGGATATTTTGATGATGATTAAAAAATGATCATTGACACTGTTAGTGTACGCGATGTAAGTTGGAGCGGTGACTAAGGACTTCAGAATTAAAAACGCAGTAGATACTGTGCGAATAGCTTTTGGGGATGCGACATGCGTGCACGTGCTTGCATCGGCTATGGCTTAGCAACTAACTTATGCAACCGTTTACTCGATTAACAAAATCAAAGGCAGGTGAAATTCAATAGAAAGCGCAATCACATACATTATCATACCCTACGACATATTTATTATACAACTAGCTTTTGCCCGCGACTTCGTCCGCGTTATCGTCGTTTTTCGTAAAAAAGTAGCATATGTCCTTCCTCAGGGTTCTGTGGTTCTGATGTGACAGACAGATTAACTTTCGTATTTTAGTAGGGAAATATAATACTGTTAAAAATATCGCAATAAGGAACCGCAGAATATTATTATTATCACTGTGCCCCGAGACCATCAGCGTGTAACTCCTTGTATGTTATTATGTTAATGTATTGGTAATATTGTTTAGATCGCTTTCACATGAGTCTTAAGTACATATAGAATGAAAATACTTCAGCGCAAAGCTTCCGGGTAGACTACGTTGAAATTTGACCCGTCCGGAACGTGAACATAAAAAATTCTAGGACTGCTAACCCGGGAAAGACCGACATAACTGACCATGTGAAAAACAACTGACACCGAGATCTACTCCAACAACATGAAAGGTCTGCCCTTGAGCCTTATTTATTGTCATTGCATAACACACCGATACTGGGAATTGCGTTCTTTTAAATTGGAATGGAAAATTATTTGGTATTATGGGAATTCTGGGAATAAAGATGGTTTCTCCTGCACCGCAACCTATTAAAATTTGAGCCTCGATTACATTTTGTTGCAACTGGGTTACTTTAAGCCGAGTTGCATTGCAAATTTGTGGTGGTCTTAAATTTCGGAGCAGAATAATCGGAATGCCAATTTTTAAACAAATTTCATGAGAAGGAAGTCCGGGCATATTTAAAGAATTTAAAAATTCTATCGGGTAATTAGTGGTTTCTTGTTCATCGGCCATTCTATTTATTGAACTATAAACTTTGCTTTTCCCCTGGATATTCGACAGTATTTTATTATTAATCTCAGATGCCTGGTCATTGCGAGGAGTTAAAATGGACCTTTCGCATAGTCAAGAATTGTTCTTATTTAATATATTTGTTACGTCACCGTAAACTGACGATTAAGATGTTGTTGGGATTGCACTATACAACATAACTCAGGCGTCAAAATAAGTTTTCCTTGGTGTAGCAGTGGATAGGTATCTTTGGTGAAGGTATTTTCTTTAATAATATATCAGAAAATTCACGATCATCCGGGTTATCTACAGTTCTCACTCGCATGTTTATAGTCAAATGCACCGATTGTATATCACGCCACAAATAAGAGCTTTTCAGGCAAGCCCTAACCTCATCAGCTCGGGTTCCCCGTGGTATTACCGGTAAGGTTTGTCGGAAATCACCACAAAATAAAACTGTGATACCGCCCAGTGGTCGATCATTTTGTCTTATTTCCCTTAAAGTTCTGTCTACCGCTTCTACTCCTTTTCGATGGGCCATCGTACATTCATCCTATATGATTAAATTACACTTTGAACGAATATTTAAACACTACCAAAACAACTAATACGTGGTCCTAACTTTAGCTACCTTACACATAAAATCTAAGTGACTATTTGAACTAAAATATTCTTATAGAATTATAACCAAAAATATATACAACTCACAACAAAAAAGAAATGAAAATAAAGCTGAAACGCCTGTGCAATACTATCTACCTATACCTCCATCACTTAAAAATAAATACTTATAACTACTTTAATTAATAAAAGTACCTACGCTTAATAATTTTTAATTTGAACGAATATTTAAACACTACCAAAACAACTAATACCCGTTTTACAAAATAACAACAAAAGAAATTCAAATAAACTATTTAAAGACTAAAAGTCGCGCTAATAAGCACGGTTTCGGTCTCCCAGGCGGGGGAGCAGATGAGAAATCCTCATGGATACCCTTGCAGCCGGCTGTAAGGTTATGTCAGACTCGTACTGACTAAAAAACACCCGTAGGGGCTGCCTCTGGCCGGGAAGGCCTCTAAGGCTTCATCGGAAGCGATCGTCCCCCAGGGGGGGGAGCGACGCAGAAAACAGATTTAGACAGCTCGCTCTCGGACCTTTGATACCCTACCGCTGCCGCGACCCGTGTCGAGCGCGGCAACCGTTACACAAAAATAATCCTTATAGCATGATTCAGTATTCACGTGAGACGGCGCGATGGCTTATTTCAGTTTGGTGTTTCTATACCGAGTATTATAAACGTAAGATTAAACAAATATGATCAGAATGCTCCGAACTGCTAAGCTATCGGGAGTTACACGTGTTATTGTGAGTCAACCATAAAAGATAGGCATATGCTGTTGCGGGATATTTTTTAGACAATTTTATGTAGAATATTTCCGTCATACATGATTTCTATGTAACTTTAATCATTAAGGCTGCACACGCGACGGAAGCTTAAAAAATGGAGTAACTTCTCCCGTTTTCCCAACATTTCCCTTCACTACTCTGCTCCTACTGATTGTAGCGTGATGAAAAGTATACTATAACCTGCCCAGGAGTATGAAGAATAATTGTACCAAGTTTCGTTAAAATCTCTCGAGTAGTTTTTGTTTCTATAAGGAACAAACACACAGACAGACAGACAGACAGACAGACAGACAAAAATTTTACTGATTGCATTTTTGGCATCAGTATCGATCACTAATCATCCCCTGATAGTTATTTTGAAAATATATTTCATGTACAGAATTGACCTCTCTACAGATTTATTATAAGTATAGATAAGGATAACATACGCAACAAGTAATTAATTCAATTAATAAATATCGAAATTTATGTTTCAAAATAAAATGACAAATTGAGTTTTGTTATAAATATTACATATTATAGGGTTTTATATAAAGGTACGCGTCGCGTCGTCTACATTCTCCCCCCATTGTCCGTCAAGGACAATCATCACTAGCGGTAGGTAGCACGGCCAGGCGAGTAGCGGGCCTGGTAAGTATACCGGTCATGGTTTTTATTTCGGCAATGCGCACACGACCATCTGCCCCGGGGTGTACCTTCTCAACTAGGCTCCTTGGCCACGTATTTCGGGGCAAGGTGGGATCGACGATGATCACAACATCTCCCTTTTTGAGGTTACGACCTTCTTGGTGCCATTTCTGACGAGGAATGAGAGTAGGCAAAACTTCACGGACTCAACGCTTCCAAAACATATCCGTTAGTCTCTACGCTATTTTCCATTGTTTTCTCCGATACAAGTCATAGTCGGTGAATTCTCCAGGAACTGGAACATTGGATGCTTCCGGGTACTCATGGTCGACAGACACGTGACTCAACGGGCGACTATATACCATATTTTCAACCTCGGCCAGTAGGGAAATCAAGAAGGGACTTCTTCCCGCGGGGCTCGTTCTTTCAGAACAGTTCGGAGCGCCGTCTTCACACTCCTTATCAGGCGCTCCCACGCTCCTCCCATATGAGGACTGGCTGATGAGATGAATTGCCAGTCGACACCCTTGTTTATCAGTTCCTCCTTTGCATCAGACTGATTTCATTCATTTCAGTATTGGCTCCTCTAAAATTTGTGCCGTTGTCATAGAACATTTTTTACGGCCAACCACGTGCGCTGCCAATCTTCGTAATGCCATTATGAAGGAGTCGGCTGATAGTGAAGGGTCTATCTCAATGTGTTACGGGTCGGGTTGGGAACGGAAATCGGAACTCGTGATTTTTTGTCTCCCGCGCGCTGGATCAATTGCTCGAAGGACCAAAATGTGGGGGTGTTTTCCACATTAAATGATATATGATAGAATATGACATAAAAGTACTAGAAACCGATAATTGATAATGTTATTACGGAATGATAAAGAAACAATAGATTGATAGTAATGCTTGAAATACACTGTTCGATACATGTTGCGCATACATCATCATGAAAGTAGAACGCTAAATTAACAAAATAAATTATAAAGTAAATTACGAAATATGTGTTTCACCGTACACAACGTCTGGATATTTTTTTAAATCAGGTTGTCAACTGTTGTTACTGAAGTGCACAGATCGGAAAGGTGAGATATTATGCCATCTGTTTCTGGGTAATCACGGTTACGCACTTATAGCAAAAGAAAATTGGCTAGCGGAAACATCACCTCTAAGGAGGACTCTCATACTTAACGTTAATTTTAAAATTTTAACTAAGGGCCACAATAATAATCTTTTAAGACACGCTTTTATCTCAATCGCACGTGTTCTGCTTGAAACTACTGGTGAAGTTTGACTAAAGTCTCCTGCCAGCAGTACAGTCAAACCACCTATCAAACTTTTTTGCTGCATATGTCTTGCTGAGTCCTATTGAAAGCTTCTATATCAAATTGCGCTATAGTACTTTCACCCCGGATAATAATTTTAGTTTTTCTTAATACTTCTGCAAATTTGCTCTGTTTTGAAATATTACATAATGGAGTTTCCACATTTGTTAGGTTCATTGGAAATTTTTAGACAGAGTATGTGGTTAGACCGCGTTGAAAAAGTGGTGTGGCAATTCACGAAGATGCCATAGCTATTGCAATGTCACGTGGACCCTTATTTCTCCCAAAATCAAATTTAATAGATAAGCTCTGCCGGTTACTCTCTGATGCTCTTCTAAACTTTGGCCCTTACTTGCATCGTACTTCTTACTATTTGTTCGTATACTGGATTTTGTTCTTCTGTTAATAAATCCCCCTCTAGAGCTATCACATCATAGCTAGTTTATTTAATCCATTCGCTATTTTCAAATATAGATTGTGATAGACCTGCTTGGTTGTGGTAACCGTGTGTATACCAAGTAATCTTACGGCCGTTTCTTCGTGTTCCAAACGAAATAACTTTTTTTAAAGCACTCTTTCGGCTATTTTGATCACAAAACCTAGTTTGCATAGCAGTGTTTGTATTTTTTTAGCAGTTATGTAAAATTTCATTCATACATACGCAATGTATAAATGTATACGGTCAAACCTATTTTACGTAACATAGATTTTTAGTAAAATTGACCGCTCAAACCAATTGGAGAGTTCGTGTGGACAAGCTTCACTTCACATAAACGGCACTAAACAATATTACTTCAAAAAGGAACAATAGTAAATTTAAATCAAAAAACGAGGACTGCTTTATCCGTGCGGTGACGGAGAAAGAATACTACTCACCGACCCTTCTCTTCTCGTGGTTGTCGTAAGAAGCGACTGAGGGATATCGGAGCATCCATACGTTCTTCTGGTGGTAGGGTGCCTAACACTCGACTGGTTTGTTACCACCGTGCGGATGATGAAAAACCCTTGAAGTGCTACTCGCGCGTTTCGGGGTCAGCCAGCTTACAACCAGAGCTTGAGTGGGGAGTGCCGCAGCAAATTCGGTCCAAGGGAGACATTCGTCGAACCAATGCCGGGAGTGACCGGGGCGTGAGATCCCAGCGGCTACTCCTAGGGGGTGCGGTGGCCCTTCCATCCAGCGGGTTGGTGCATCTCCTCTGCAGGCAGTCATTCGGGGAAACAATCTCCCTAATTTGCCCGGTCCTGTCGCGCAACGTCCGCTCGTTTCACGTCTCTTTTTCACCTCCATCATGGAAGCCCCTAAAATAACGCCAAAGTTTGGACGTACAGCGGTGCACACCCTCACGCCTTCAATGCTGTTTGAGGTCGAGTTCTGCAACATACGCGGACTCTACTCTAAACTCAACGCCGTCCATCACCATCTTGAGACAACATTGTTGTTCCTGACGGATACACAAATACTTCCTGTATGTTCGGGTGGAAGTTTTGCTGGCACTGTCTCCGCTGCTTGGAAGATCCGCCCTTCTCCATGCTGGCGGTACACGTCGACTCTGATCCCCTGATCAGAGTCTACGTGTGCATCCACAGATCCCATACCGGCGATGTTGAGACAACTCGACTTTTTGAACACCTTAGTCGGGCAGCAGATGACGCGCTGAAATAATTTCCTAATGCAGAATTGGTGTTTTGGGGGAATTATAATGCTCACTACAATTTGTGGTGAAGTTCCTTCAAAACCGACCAAACAGGGATCTCAGCTCACGCATTCGCTCTCACGCATGACTTGAAGCAACTAATCAGCCCACCAGGATTCCAGATATTCCAAGTTAAGCGTCTTCTTTACTGGACTTTCTGCTCACGACCCGTTGGCTTTGGCTGGCTATCACGTTGTGGTAAGAGCCACCCTGAGCTCGGCGGATCACTGCCTGATATCTTGCACCACAGGCCAAACCCGCGCGTCCAGCGATGGTCAAACGCCGTATCTGGCACTATGGGTCGACAGATTGGGACGGTATGCATGACTACTCTGCCTCCGACCCTTGGAAGCAGCGCTGCTTCAGTGACAGGGACCTATCTCCCAGCGCCACTGGTATTACTGAGGAGATTATAATAGGTATGGAATACTATATTCCTCATTCTAATCTCATCAGTATGGGCACACGTAACCTCTGGTTTAATCGCGACTGTGCTGAAGCTGTTTAGCTTAAGCAAGCGGCATATCGTGCTTGGATCAGATCTTTAGACGGATATGAACGACGGCTGATCTTCTAGCCTACTGACTGACCTTATGACTCATATCTGGGGTGAGGCTATCTAAAAGTGTGTCGAATCGTTGGCTATCAGCTTTGACGTTGCTAAGGTGTTCAACATGGTCTGGCACATAAACCTTCTCTCCAAGCTTCTGGCATACGTTCCGTCGGCCCAGTTCTATTCCTGGATAGCCGACTTCCTACATAAAAGTAGAATTCGTTTCCTTACTGATGGTAGTAGTTCGCAGTTATGTCAGTAAATGCCGGCGTTCCGCAGGGCTCCGTCATATCCCCCACTCTCTTTCTGCTGCATAATAATGACTTCATTGCTCTTGGGAATATTCATTGCTATGCAGACGATAGTACAGTGCATGCGGGGTATCTTGGAAAAGCAGCGGCTGGACAGGCGGTAACCAAGGAGAAACGGGAGAATCTTTTCAATGAACTCAATCAGGCTTTGGACCACATTTCTGAATGGCGTACCAAGAACTTGTTTGAGTTTGTGGCGGCGACATTTACATGCCCCACATATAATGAACATAGAGGAAATAGTCACTCGCCTCCTTAAGAGATAGCGCTACCGGCGCTGCGTTCACAACGTATGGAAGCCTACATCGCGTAAGAGAAATTCGGAGTCAAACACTCCATATATACGATGCCCCACCAACATCAGTCGGGCCGCGGCCCCCGAGCTATCATCACCCAGCTCGGAGGAAGATCTTCCCCTTTAGCCTTCCCACAAGTTCAATACTAAGAAAACTCAGGTTTGTACTTCCACGATAAAAAAGTCGCCATTCCTTTCATGTCCTTCTCTTCAGGGCACAACACTGGAGCTAGACAGCAGTATTACCATGCTCGTTATGGAAATTCGCTGTGACTTCGCTGTGAATTACATCGAAAGCGTGGTAAAAACATTTTTCGGACCTATCTATAAAAAAAAATACTTTAAATAAAGGCTGAAAACAATAAAACAAGTCCAAGTCAATTTATAAACTATTTTAACCGCTTATTAACACGTAAGTATTAATAATTTAATATTCTGTATCTCTCTATTCTTGATTCTTAACTTTTCGGATCCCTTTGATTATAGATCCGTAGTCATAAGACTGACTTATTTCCTTACTTACTTTTCAATCCACTTATTGAACATGGTTTAACAAGACTGCATAAGCGATAAAAAAGACAATTTCACCCTTTTTATACTGAATAATTGGCAGTTTTAATTAAAAGCATAGTCAGTTCATTGATTATATATTTTGATCGGAAGAGTGTTGGGTACAGTTATCGTATCGATAAAAAATGCAGGACTTCATTCACCATCATATATGTGTCACGTGTTTTTCTCCCCTCGGGTCGGTTTCTTCATTACTGAGGGCCAGAGGATCGCAATTCCCCGCTGAACCCTAATACTAAGCCGCCGATGTCAGTCGACTTGTCAACGGAATTTATCTCATGATCTGTAGTAGACAATTGAAATTTACACAGGACATACATATATATTTATTACGGCCTGGACAATTAAAATGAAATCATGAATCGAAGCATGGAGAAACTCGAGAAAAGTATCAAACGTAAAGATACATATTTTGTAAAGCCTTATTTATGTCTTTTTACTTACTTATATGAATATCAGATAGAAATGCAACATGATTTCACGTATTATTTTTGAAAATGTTATCATGACTATTAAGTATTTCATTTGGTAAATGTTAAATATATTCAAATTTTGTTGAAACTTTAGTTGGTCGAAATTTATTTGTTACAATTGTTAAGTTTGATATTAATTATTAAACCAAAAGGATTAATAATACAACTTAAATAATAGGTCTAAAATGTTATTTAATTAATAGTGTTTTTATTTTGTTTAAAACTATATCAATATTATTTAAAGTATTTTATAATGTTAATAAATCATCTTGAATGTTAAAGTGGTATTAACCGTCTGTGATTGTCAGTGATGTATGATGTGAATCTATGAGGTGAATTGACTATAAAAGACTAACATTTTAATAGTGACACAGTTTGTAACGGCCTGTTGAAGTTTACAGACTTACGAGTGATCAATACAACGGTAATCGGATATTTTTTTGCTTTGTTGCCACCCTGATTCCACAAGTAACAAGTTTTTGGCCACCCATCCAATGACCAACCATTGCGAAAGTTGCTTAACTTTCGCCATCGCAGACCGAACCCGCTAACTACCAGTGCATTCGAGCTCCTTAGCAAATCTAAGTCACGATAATTATATGTTCTTATGTGCTGTAAAAATTAATAGCCAGTCACCACTTTACCTACTGTTATGTTGATTCAGATGGGTCGTATTTACTATTTAACCCAATCAAGGTAAATGCAGCGTCTTCTGCATCTTTGTCATCACGGATAAAGATTTTCTTTATTAAAAATTCTTGTTCAGCGTGATCTGTTGTAATTGGTTTTGGGCAGAACCAATCGTGTCATCAATTATTACTTTAACAGGAATATCGATATATTTGTCGATACCTGCACAACACTGATATTTACATGAGGCGTAAGATTGGTTGATTTAAATAATTGCAAATCGGTGCTGTGGGAAACTCACTCTTGTTACAGTTATAATTATGAAGGATGTCATAATGCATTATTTTTCCATTGAAGAAGCAGCTGCTTTTTCCCACATTTTTTTAATAAATATACATTTATTTATTTCAACATCGTAACAGGAAGGATTCAGCAAGCTTTTTCTTTACCTCATCGTATGAGAATGTTTACAAATTATTAACTTTTTTTCTACTGTCGTCATAATGTTTAAACTTTAACCAATCAAAGACAAATTTCGGTCCGATTGTTGCTGTAAGTTTTGTAACCTCGAGATCGCAATTTACGAGCAATTTGCGCAGATAATCAATGGATGGCTAATAAGGTAGTTTTGTTTCAGGCAGGAGTATTACACCCGAGAGCAATGAATCTGGGTCACTTAAAGAATCCTAAAAATCTCGCAAACTAAGAATACTAGCTTAATGAAATAAATTCTAATTAATAGACAATTTAATACTCCCTAAATGAAGATATTGAAACTTCTTAGCTATTGTAAAGTTATATCATAGAAAAATCAGATTTGAAAAAGGGAGACTTTCGTAAATGGAACTACGAAATTACTGCATTGATTTTTTGCTTTTGTTTCTAATCTGTCATTTATCATTCTTATAAACCATGTCGATAGTATTCAATATTAATTATTCAAGCTGTAATCACGTCGCTTACACCTGAAGAATGCACCAGAATTCTCATAATGCTGGAAACAGTCAACAGTACAAACAGTTCTCCGACGTTACGAGGAAACAAGCTCTTACGTACGCAGACCAGAAACAGGCAGAACCAGGTATACCACAGCACATCACTTTCTCACAGGAACTGAAATTACAAATCAGTTTCGGCGCCACGGAGGAAGTAATCGCGCAAGTAGCGCATGGACAGTAATACGACGTCTTGCTGAAGCTAGCTTGAAACCCGCTTACACCTGCAAATGGCCCTAATCTGGAGTGTGGGCATCGTTTTTCAAGACTAAGATATGCCCAGAACTACTTAAATTGGACTATTGAAGATTAATCAAAAATTATGTTCTCCGGCGAATCAAAATGTATGCTCTATAAGCACGATGGAAGACACAGAGTATATAGAAGACCTGGGGAAAGATACAAGCAAGCATG